AGCCTCTATGGTTGGCTTCCCTTCGGCCTGAAGAAACTGTCCAGGATCCATGATATGCATTTGGTTGGCCCGTTTTGGGTGGCATCCTCTGTGGCCTCAGCAATGTGGCCGAGGGATCTTGGGGGTTAATCGACACCTGCGATGCAATGGAGCCCCACTGGGAAAGCCCGGCTTGACACTGCGATCGCTTCCAAAGCGAACCGGCTGCGCACGCTTCCTGGAAACCCGGACACACAACAGCCCCATGAACGGAATGTTCATGGGCCACAGCTCCAGTTGGCCGTCGGAAGGCTGGCCATTGGGCCAAGATCAATCACTTGAACGACATAGCCAGTTTTGCCTGGACTAAAGGGAACCCAAACCAGCGATCCCGTTTCTAGGCGTTTCAAGGGCACGTTCATGGAAATCCGTTTGGGTGTGGTAATTTGTTTGTTTGTTTTTTTGGGTGGTGTTTTCAAGGGTATGGAAGAACATGTTTAAACAATAGGGCTTGTTCTCCCTTTAGAGTCCCTTGATTCAGCCCCAAATGAGGCTACCCCTCAAAGAGAAAACAAAAACAAAAAACACAATCAAACGCGCTGGTTGTTTTTTTGCACGGCCTCTGCCCGGCGAGGTAGCGCGTCACAAAGGACCAGCCTCGTGACATGGACGGCCCGGTTGGACTGTGAGCTGGGAACCCACCCAAAAAAAGGAGGGTGCCACCGAACCGGGGGTCGGGGGTATGAAGAATCCCGTTCCAAACGCGCACTAAGAAGCAAGCTTGCCAGGGTCCGACCAGAAAAGCAAAAAGAAAACAAACTACATTTGATGGATGGGGTGCTTTGGGTAAAAAAGGGGATCATTGTCCCAAGCAAACATTAAGTGGACAAACATCTGTTGGAAGACTACCGCTCGAATTGAAGACGGAGCGATAGGGAGCCTGTGTTTGGCAGGAGCATGCACGCTGTATGGCCTGAAATAATGAAATAATGGTTTGGTCGCCTGTCCAACACTTGCTACAAGGGCAAGTCAATAACATACGACCAATCCTGAGACACACACACACACACACGGGCCAGGGTGGTTTTCTCAACGTGGCAATGGTGGCCTCCTCTCCTCCTTCCCCGTAATTTGTCCGAGTATTGTGTGTTTGACCTTGTGTTCCGAAACCCCATGCCATGCAGGGCAACCCCCATGCAGGCAAAACCACAACTTGAGTGCAGCTTGGCTAACGTGGGCTGGCCGAGGGACGCAAAGGTAGCGGGGTTCCCAACAAAATCTTCCAGTTCCAAACCATGTTGGGTTTCATATGGAATGATACATGGAATCACACATCATAATAAACTCTCACTTCCGTTTGCCACGCACATGATCGAAGCCGCTCAAAGCCCAAAACTGGGTCAGATAGAAGTACTGAAGTGGAGCAAGGCACCACCACGGGCAAAGGGTCGATTATTCACAGTGACGGACGGTGCCAGTACCTTGCCCGACCCTCGCAGAACCTGCACTTTGCGGTTTCTGCCTGAGCTGTCTGCGAGAAGAAGAGTCAGCTCGGCATCTTTCTCCCCAGCCATATCCGTCCCTAGGGCACATGCCCGTCCCTTGCCCCTTTCTGACATCAGATGGGGTGAGAGGTTCGGCGCCCTTCACTGGGCGAGGAGCATCCTGTCCTGGTAGATGCGGTTCTCCCCATCAAAGTCCAGCAAGCCTCGGTGCATGCCTCTGGCTTTTGAAAGATCAAGAGGAGGGGCTTGCAAGAAATAAATTACATCTACTGCCCAGCACGAAATTATGATCAAACATGAAGGGGAGTCTCTTTGTTTCTGTTTGTTTTTTTCCTCTCTCTCTCTCTCTTTTTCTCTTGCTTTGGATGGATGTGTTTGACACGCAGACCCAAGCTATGCGGTTGTGCGCCTATTATCTGTTGTGCGCACCTAACAGCAACAACACTGGGGAAACCCTCTTGGTCTTCTTCCAAGGATTGCGGAGGCGTGCAGTTGAACACCCGCGCCTGAATCTCTGATAGACAATTTGGGCGTTTCAATCCCAAAGCAACCAACAAGTGAAGAGTCGACCCCCCTCAGGCGGGTGGTTTCCTTGGAGTTTTCCTTAAAGCAACCTGAAAGGGTACCCTCAAAAGGGTTTAGCTATTGCACACTAAAGGGCACCTATTTCCACACATGCGCTGCCATAGACTTGCCGAGCCTTATGCTTGATCAATCTTAGAGGGCCCACATGGCAACGGTTTCTTGTTGGCATCATACGTTCTGTGCAGCGCAAAAGAGGTGTCCGGTTTCCAGCAAAGTGTCAAAAACGTTGTCCAAGGATCTGTCAGAGGAGATTCAATCATTGGCATGTGGGCTGTGCAAACATTGGCTTGGAACCTCCTTTGGGACAGTTGAAAGAACACCTAAAGGACACCGCCCATGTTTAGAGAGTCTAATTCCTGCTGTGGGAACCGGCCGCATTCTCTTCACCGACCAGCTCGCCAGGTCAACACCGGACCATGAGCTCTATGTAACTTGGCTGTCCAAAAACCATGTTCGCCCCAAGACAAAGCAAACAACGAAGCCTGATTGAAAGAGGTGATCTCACAAGGGGGTCAATGCGTTTCGATATCAAACTCAAAAGCCCCAACCGCTTGAAGACCTACAGGGCTCCAATTGGTTCGTGCACGGAACACAGAGGGCGATTTTTGGGGGGATTTTTTAATCCAGTTTCAGTCATGACCGTAGCATCAACATGTGGCCATGAGTTTTAATATGAAACCACCTTTGAACATGAATCCCACCAACAATGATGTCCACCAAAGGTTTTTTTTGCAAATCACACCCACGTTCAGTCTGTTTTGTCCCATATTACTCGTGTGTCGCAAGCAAAACTTCCGAGACTTCGGCCAAAGGTGATCTTCGGGTCCGCACCCTCTGCACGGGAGCCGATTTCCTGAAGTGCAGGAAGGATCCGAGACTTTGACCTATTTGACCAAGGCGGAATTCCCAATCCCTACACCTTCAGAATCTCCTTACACATTTTCCAGGTCGGGGCCGAACTCCGAACCAGGCAAAATGTCAGTGCCCTCGTTTTTGAACATATTTCAACTCAAGGCAACTCGAGGCTGTAAGCAAGGAAGTCCACCACCCAGCTACATGGCATGTGAAAGCTTACAGAATACACCACGTCTCGAGGTAGATCATGTTTCATCGGCAAGACCTCAAAGTAAAAGGCTTTGCATCTGCGCCGGCCGGCACTTGGGTACACGTTCTGCAGAAAAAATAATAATAATAATAATAATAATAATAATAATAATAATAATAATAACAAGCAAGCATAGCTTCAACTGAAAGTCGTTGAGGTACAAATTCCTGGGGGCAACAAGCGGCCCAACTGAAATGGCCGGCGATCACTAGAGTACAAATTCATTCAAATTCTTGGGGCCACAAGCGGGCGAAATGAGAATGGATGGCGGTCACCAGGAAGCCAACACTTGGGGCCAAAAGCTCTGGAGGCCACAAACGGCGCAACTAAGCATGCCAACGTTGAGGTGACGCAGGTCCCGTGTTGTTGTGGAGTAGAGGCTGCCCTCGTCCAAAGTTGCACATTCCGCGTGGGCAACTGATTGCTGATCTGAGGCAGTTTGGCTCCATCAGGTTCGTAGTGCTCAAAAACGTCTTCCAGGGGCTGACGGTGAGACGTGCTCAGGGATCTTGGTCTCTCCGGCAGTCCTTCCAGGCTTCCACGAAGGAGTCCCGCCCGATGCCGTGGTCCGGCGCATTGCTGGTGAACATCACGTCCAGCTTCATCTGCCGGCCCAGGGAGACGCAAATATATACATATATATATATACATACATGAAAAGGATTCATGAATGGGTATTTCCTTCTGGCTCCTTACATAGTGAACTCCGCCCCCCCCCCCCCGCCTTTTCATCGTGTTTTGCATAGTTTCCAGAAGAAACCAATTTTTGAGGTGTTCCATTCTTGAAACACAGAATCATTTTTTGAATCCTGAGGGATATTTCCTGCCGGCTGCCTGGGTCTGGCTCAGGAAAGAAGTCAGTCTTCATGGTATGGCACTTTGAAATTCGTTCTTACCTCCAAAGTCAATGATGGCAAGTGTGTCATGATGACCTTCTGCGTGCCCCCCCCCCCCGCCCCTCTTCCCTGCAATTGTTCAAAACCCCAAACTCTTGCAAACTCCTAGGCTCCTACCCTCCGAATTCTTTTCACATGACGCCGGTCCAACCTTTTGAGCTCGTTGCGCTTTTTGATTTCTCGAGCCGTGCCCTCTCACACTTTGCGAGAAAAGCAAGCTAGAAAATCATTTTCATTTTCTGAGTTCTGGCTGCATTGTTGAAAGATCCATAATCCCGAGCTATTCATAGTGGGACACCAAAGGGGAAACTGCTACCATCTGGCAAAAGGACTCAGCTTTGCAAATTCTCATGGGTGAGCTTGTTTTATCGAGCTTGCGACCGGCTGTGGACACTCCCTCATCCAAGTCTGCCCAAAGGGGCCATGGACTTGGCAGTCACTTTGACAGCATTCTCACCTGCCAGCACCTCGAAATTTAGAGACTTGGCTAACCCATTCGGACCTTGACTCAAACTGTATGTGCTGACATGGGAGACCCCAAAACGGTGGTTCTCTTTCCCCTAAAACGACACATACGCAAATGGACCATGAAGAACGCAAAAGGTCAGGTCGATTCGCTGGCAGGTGATTCATGCACAAGCTCCGCGCCTTCCCTGGCTCGGAACCCCTACGCATGTCAAGGCCAGTGGCTCTATCCAGCTTGGTCTTCCAGCTTGGGCAAAGTGCAGGTCCCAACGAAAATAAGTGAACCCCGTGAGTGACCTTCTTGAGCTCGTTCTATCCGAAGAGCTTGGAATAACATGTGATAAGAACTGTTGCATGTTTGTTTGGATGGTCAACATTGGGGACCCCTTTGAAGATTAAACCGGGGTCCAATGGACCCATTTGCTTGACCATCTGCTCGTTGATGTGTTGATCCCAGTCTAGTAAGGAAGAGCCCACCGTGCTGGTGCTGGCAGGGTCACTGGCTTGATTGCGAATTTCATCGAGCGCCCCGATGAGGCTCACATGCACAAGGCGCGGCCTCAGCTCGAGTAAAGAGGTCTTGGCGTCAACCAAAGGTCTCCGCCGTTGGGTTACCCGGGGTCCATTTGACTGGCAACCATGGCGAACTGTTCCATCACTGCGTCAGGTTTCTTACGCACACTCCCCCGATTTATGGATCTCCCTTTTCGTTCCTGCGTTTTTCCAGGAAAGGACAGGGAACTGAACAGGGTTACCCAGTTGTAGGACCATGTCAACGTGTTTTCGAGTCTTGCCTATCGCGGCTCCTGATGCTGATGTTGCGCTGGAGGTATGGAACAATAGGTTCGTTTGACAAAGACCGTAGGTTCATTGGACTCCCCCCCCCAGGACGAAGGGGATGGTCCCAACCCGGGGGATTGCGTGTTTTGGCAGGACTATCATCCCTGGTTTTTTGCTGTGTCCAGGGCAGGAAGTTTGCCCGACGCATATGAAGGTTCGAGGGGTCCGGCCCAACAGAAAGTGCTTGTCCTTCTGGTGGTCCTTTAAACCAATCCAGCGAATGTGAAAAGGGCCTCCAAACAACCGACCGCGTCCCCGCTTGGGCGCTTGGGGTTCCGGGGTTCCGGGCGGGCCGCCGCAGCCATCTCCAAGCCCTCAGCCACAAAGTCCACCGGCGCGCAGCGCTCCACGGTGACCTGCACGCGGCTTCGGCCTGAAGCGAAGAGAAGCGAAGCGCGCCGCGCGCGCCGGCCGAGGCGACGCGTCCGGGGACGGGCAAAACGGCCGCGCTGTGGTCACCCCCCATTTGATGGCTGAATTGGGGGGTTTGCGATGAATGAACTTGTTGTTAGTGGGGAATGGAATGCGTCCTATCGACCTTGTCTTACAAGGGCCAACCATTTGCTTATGGGGGTGTTCCAAATTCCCTGACAACAAGCGCGTCAAAAAGGGCGGCCCGATGCTACTGTCCCCCTTCGAATAGCTGGGTGTTGATGGCTCACATGGGTCACAGAAGAAGGCGCAGCATTTCACTCTTACCCAAAGCGGGGTCCAAGGATGAGCAATATGTAACGAACATGGGTATGGGTCAAAATTAAACCACCAGGGGACAGCAGGTTTTAGTCCTTGGTTCCATTTACCAGGGCTCCATTTAGGGTACATATTTTTGACCCACAGCCACATCTGAGAACATATGGCTTTGCACCTTTTGTGCCGAAACTCACGACACCTTTGGTCCACAGAACGAGGAACTGTCCATGCCCCCGGCAAACCTGGCGTCCACGGCCAGTAGGATCTATGCTGTGGGATCAGATTCTCTAAAAGATACGCAGGCTGCTTTGCAAGACATGCACATTGATTCAAAA